TACACTCAGCTCTTTGGAAAATAAAGTAGGGGATAGTAGGGAATATATATACGGTATTTTAAAAATACGGTATATTTTTTTGCAGCAGAAACGGGGCTCATAAAAATATACCGTATTTTTTATACCGTATTTTTCCCCACTATTTTTGTAGAATTATTCCGGTATTTTGCAACAGATACCATATTTTTCATACCCCATTTCCGCTGCCAATAAAAATACTGTATTTTGTGCTGACTCCTGACATGATGTCAAGAGTCAGAGTATAACGCGGGCAGGTTGTTTTGATTTTTTTGTCGTGGAATAGCGAACAATAATGCGAAATGTGGACTGAAAATACTACGATATTAGTCAATACTATAACACCAATAATTTCTAGGCTGTAGCAGAAGTTGGAGTGTAAAACTTCCTTCATTGCAACTTTTAATTATACTGTAGATGAAACAAAAATTACAACATTCCATGTTTATCGTGAGCAGAAAAAAAAAACTCACTACACAGATCAATCCAAACTTCCGTCTCACAAAAAAGGCATGTTGGGTAAAAGAGGACCTTTTAAACAAGATCACCAAAGAATACTTTTAGCAGGAACGGGACGCTGGATTTCAGATACCATATATTTTATACCATATTTTTAGGAAAAGCAGCAGAAACAGGCCCTATAAGGACCTTCTGCAAATAAGTTGTCAGACTTCCATGCCTGGGTTATCACACAAATGAAATCTAAACTAATCCATCAGAAGGGGTCATTTGAACAGCTAAGAAGCTTAATGGGATTTAAATAGTTGATATGTTTAATCCTTTGTGATAATATCAAGCATTATAGTGTATCAAATACTTGCCATAGGATACAATTTATAAAGAATATTATATGTTTTTTATAATAGAAGTTGATACTTCACACAGGTTTTTAATTGGACAAACACCATTTATCTTCCACACCACACTAATGGGTTTATAATGGGATTATTGAAAACAGTTCCAATACACTTTTGATGATGTTATAGAACTGGTTTTAAGGCACAAAAATCATGTTTGACGAAAACCTCGGCAGTGGTTAATGAGAAACAGATTTTTTAATATTTAAAAACTGGGGGAAAAGGTTGAAAAAAGGGTTCCACGGTCGTTCCGTGGCAAAACAACGTAACTTGAAATTTTCACTTTTTAAAAAATATAGAAGTAAAGTTTGCATGTTGGCAAAAAATTGTTGTACCCTTCTGAAATTTTGCAGGACTATATAACTTAGCTATATATATTATGGTTATGTAAAATTATAATTACAACCGTTTATTGTATTAACGATATTCACAGATATACGTACCTGTAGTTGTTTTACATTGGAAACACGTCAGGTGCGGTATTGCGGCAAGTGTGACATGTCTGGGGCAATCATATGCCTTAGCTTGTGCATATGTCGTCATTAAGATTATTGATATGAAAACGCCATCAACCGGTTGATTTTGCTGTGCTAAACTCCATCAACTCGAAGGAATTTTTGAATACCATTCCGAGGCAAAACAATTTATCTTCATCCTACAGTAGATACATAATTTTTGCCCCGTAATTTTGCATACGTTGTTTTACCACAGAAAATAACTAGATTTTAAGTTGTATGCTTAAAGATAGGTGATGCTATCTCTGAAACGACTCATTGTTGAGACCTGTTTACTCCCAAATGAATTATCTCAAAATCAACAAAAATGTCAGTTACATTGCTTTGCCTTGGGACGGCCGTACAGTACGCCCTTTTTTCCTTCCCAGTTTTTAAATAATTAAAAATCTGTATCTCATTACCGCTTCCAAGCTTTTTGTCAAATATGGAAAAGTCAGTTCTGCTGTCATCTATTAAGCGAACACACCCACTATACAGTATAGTAATTTAGCGCAAGAAAAAAAGAAATGAAACAAAAAGACAGTAACTCCGAAAAGAGACAGAGACATTTTGACTCTGAAAATGTCTCTGTCTCTTTTCGGAGTTACTGTCATTTTGTTTTATTTAAGACTAATTAGTGGATGGTTTTTTTTTGTTTTTTGTTTTTTTTAAAAGAAAACTTTTAAAGAATTACAACAACCAAAATTGGATTAGGTGTGACCACCATCGAGTGATCAAGTATACAAGATAAGATAAGATAAGATAATCTTTATTGTCACATTTACAATGCATGTGTGCTACTGTATAGTAGCAATAACCCAAATTGTACTATAATTTTTTAGGGATTACTCTTTATGGTACCTTTGATAATTTTTGAATGATATATTATTGAATATTATTTTTCTGGTAAAGACCTAATCTGGTAAAGATACAGTAGAGTAGTATCAACCCAAGTTGGACACCAATAACAAAAGTGGGTAGAGTACTTTTCTTCATTAAACAAATAATGTGTACAACTGACCTACATTGTACTGTAGAATTTACTAATTATCTTGTCCTAATTAGCTGGAAAGTTTACTGTATGCATGAGGCGAGACATTGTGTGACACATTCTTCTAGCTGAAGATGCAAATACCTGAAGGAAAACTAAGCTCTTAATTAATCTGTTGTCCATGATAATTCTTAATTGACCACCCACCCAGAACACTGACCCTAAAAACAATTAAACATTGTGAATCATTGAAGTCTAAATAAGACAAAAACTTTAATTAAGATAATAAATCTTAACGACATACAGAAGTGGTGTACAAGTTTATAGTTCAAGGAGCAATACCAGGTTCAATGTTGTCTATTATGTTACAATAAATAAAAATGAACAATAAAAATAAAATTTAATACTTTCTATTTAAGTATCAAAGGTCATTAGCCCTTGGTTGAAAGTTCTTAATCTACTGCATCATGTACAGTAAGAATAATAAAATTATAAATATACTGCAATCTTGAATGAAGTAAACTTGTAAAGTACAAAGGTACTGTAGCGTAGCTAAAAGTCATTATGTGCATGTGTGAAAATGTAAAAAACTGATGCATTAGAATGTTCGAGTACTAACTAAAGAACAAAGAACTAAAGAATCAGCTGCAGCCATGCCTGTGAACATGCCACTTAACGAAATTTCACACATAAACACTACACTTAAAAAGGTTTCGCACATGAACCATACACTTAAACTAGGTTTCTCACAGGTAAAATATGTTCTTTAGTAAACATGAAATGACCAATAATATTTCCTTTGTAAATTGAGATATTTTTAAAACATTTGATTATGATCTTAAGATTCAGGAGTGACTTTCTTTATCATTAATTGTTTTTGAACAGGTGGTAAAATAGGCCAGGTAAATGGTTTATGAAGCAAAAAATGAAACTGACATTTTCGAATATTTTCCTTTTTTAAATGACATTATAATTTAAATATCTGAGAGTTTGATCTGTCTGGCGATAACTTTTACCATACTTTTAGTGGCTTTCTATATTTCTAATCTATAAATAGAAAGCTCGTAAAATTGACAAAAAAGCTTAAGTTTATAAACATTAAAAACAAGCAAATGTCTAATAAGATGAGGTATAATGACATCGGTGAATTGCCAAATTGGCCATTAAAACATTCCTCGAAGATGTCCAAGTTGCTTTTAATTACAAAATTAGTTGACAAGAGCGGATGATAGATGAGTCGTAAGACCTACATGTATGTCAACGAATGCAGACAATAAGAATGAGTAAAATCTTACATTAATATAGTTTGTAATCATATTGTAGCGTTACAATATGATTTCAAGATTAGTTATTATAATACCTTCAAAAGCTTACCGTAATTTTGTCACACTGCTGGGGCGGATGCAGGATTCTGTGTACTGTAGGT